ATATTTAAATCAAAATTTAGTTCGAAAATTACCTCAACAATAAGGGGAATACGTATGGTTCATTCACGATCGGGCATAAGAAATGCATGCGGAACCACGCCCATGATTGTAGAAGCAGAAGACATCCACAGATAGCAGTTTTCTTATAATTCGTCGCCCGACACATTTCTCTAAAGAGAAATGCCAAAACTGCAGCACCCCAACTATATCTTCCAGCTTCATCAAAATCGATCAGATGTCGCAACCACATACAATGCACCTGGTTGCGAGATTTGTCGGGCATCAATATTCCTCCAATTATTCGTAGAATATATGCCCGAGCACATGCCTTTGCTTGATCCTCTGAAGCATTTTCATTTAAAACCTCAAAATTAGCTTTCAACCAAGATAAAGCTATTCTACCTCCATTAAACTCTGGCGGAGCAGCTCCAAGATAATCAATGCACATTGATTGCCAATCACCATCCGCCGTACCACACATCATATTTCCGTCGACGGGAAGCCCCAGATGCATAGAGACATCCTCCAATGTAATTGTCGCCTCTCCACATGGAAGGTGAAAAGTGTGTGTCTCGGGCCTCCACCTCTCAATCAGTGCAGAAATTAGGACAAGTTCGAGTTTGCAACCGCCTATAATTGTTGCAATATACCCGAACCCGGCAGAAGCCAAATATGGCAAAATACGTTCCGGTGTCGGTATACGTGGATTTTTAATAAAAGTCTCTAAAATACGATCAGCATCCTAAATAATATACATTATAAAAAATAAAAATTAATATAAATTCATAATAACTTTAAAATAAAAATAAATTTAAATATTAACATTAATTATAAAAAATATTACTATATCGCTAAAATATCTGGAGATATGATCAATATCCAATCGCAACAGCATTTTGTTTTCCATTATAACTGTAGACAAAACAATATAATTAGCAAAAAAAAAAATTAATAATTCTAAATAAATAATAATTATATAAATATTATTTTTAATAAAAAAATAATATTTACATAAATATATTAATATAAAAATAATAACTATTTAAAAAAATACTAACATAAAAATAAATTTCTTACCACTAATAACAAATTTAAAACTCAAATAGTTGGAGAATTTGAGTTATATAAGAGAGGAGAATATGATTTTGGTGTGAAAAATGATGGAGGGTTGAGGGGGTTTATATAGGGGAGGAGGAGGGGTAGTTAGGAAAAACGGATGGGGGCATTTATGACATTTAATGGAAGGCGCGTCCCCGGGGATGCGCTTTCCACACGTGTCTGCTGATATGGCAAAGGCGCGTCCCCGGGGACGCGCCTTCCACACGTGGCATACAACTCAGCGAAAACACGGGTAAAGCGCGTCCCCGGAGATACGCCTTTGCCAACTCAACAGAAAGAGTGCTACTTCTGGAAATATTGATCGGTGTCAGAAAGAGAAAATTAAAAAAAAAATATGTGTCAGTAATTTAGCCCCATCAATCGAGACACGTGTCAGCATTCCAATAGCCTTAGTCATCACCTACCCCCAACTCTCTGATAAAGTTTGAGCCACTCCAATGGTCCAAAGGCAGCCATGCCCAGGTCTCTCTCTCTCCTCTTTTCTTCTTCTTCTTCCTCTTCCTCTCATTTGTTCATCCTTTATAAAACCCTAGCAAAAAGGACCATCTTTTCTTCTCTATCCACCATGTCCATCAACCTCAACGCCCATGCATTTGCTGGTAACCTTATAAGATCCAAAACCCCCAAACCCAACGACCCACTTTCCCCTGCTTCGGTTTACCAGTCCCTCAAAACCAATCTCCTCCAAAACCCTGAAAACAACTCTCCTCCTCCTCCTTCAAATTCCCCTCTTTTCAAGGTCCTCCCCTTTAGAAAGGGCATGCCTTTGGCTTCTTCGTCTGTTACAGGGGACGATGATGTGCCCAGTTGGCATCTGGGCTGGATCAGTTTGTCTGATTGCAAAGGTTTTCTGGGGAAATGTGGGGTCGATTTGACTGAGGATTCTTTGGTTTATTTGGGATCAAAGGCTGAGGAGGATGTTGTTTACTGGGCGATTGATGTTTCTGAGGAAGACGGTTTGGTTCCTGAATTGGGTACCAAACAGTTTTGCTTTGTGGAGCTTAGGACACTGATGGTGGCTACTGATTGGGCTGATTCTTCAGCTATGGGCGAATTGGCCATTGCTGGTCATGTAAGTGGGAAAAAACCAGTGACTTTTAGCTTCATAATTCGTTCATGTCTTGTGTTTTTAATTCTTGTTGTTCAATGATTGTTGCATTTGATCAGGCTCGAGCATTGCTTGAATGGCATAGCCTATCGCGATTTTGTGGACATTGTGGAGAGAAAACAGTCCCCAAGGAAGCTGGGAGAAGAAAACAATGCTCCAACGAGCTATGCAAAAAGAGGATTTACCCTCGAGTCGATCCGGTAAACGTCTTTCGCCTTTATGTTCTATGATCGATGTTTGAAGTTTCGAAATGTTAATCCAATGGATTTGTTATAGGCTCTCTTTGTTAACTTTAGCTAATGTTTCTTGAAAAAAATAGGTTGTGATCATGTTGGTCATTGATAGAGAAAACGATCGTGCTCTTTTTGGTCGACAGTCCCGATTCGTACCTCGAATGTGGAGTTGTTTAGCTGGATTCATAGAGGTAACTATCTTAGGCACATTTTAAGCTTATAGTAAGTTTTAGCTGTTATTTGTAGGATTAGACAATACCGCAAGTATGAGAAACGAAACGTACTCGCCCAGTCGCCCTTATTTTTTTATATCCTAGTGAAAAATCGATGCTTGTTTTGGTGGTTTCATTGTTGAATACATTCTTTTTCCCTTAGCCAGGGGAAAGCTTAGAAGAAGCAGTGAGGAGAGAGACGTATGAAGAGACTGGTATCGAAGTCGGAGAAGTTGTCTATCATAGTTCTCAGCCATGGCCGGGTAACATTCTTCAAGCATTGTTTCATGAATAACATGTTTTTTCTATGTTTTTTTTCGGTTCATGTGCAATTTTTTTTTCAGTTGGTCCGAGTAGCATTCCGTGCCAATTGATGGTGGGGTTCTTTGCACACGCCAAATCTCTCGAAATAAACGTTGATAAGGAAGAACTAGAAGGTACTTGAACTTGCATAAATATATTGTCATTTACAATTTTCGTTCCGGGTTGCTTTATATTTTGAGAACAAAATTTCTATGCTACGGAATTCAATTATTTGGAAATTTTAGTCATTACATTTATGCCCTGTAAACCATATCTTAGTTCTTTTCCTATGTATTTCTTCTTCTGTTCTTTTTCATCTCTCGCGGAAATCTAAGTTGCGAATTCCTTTGCGCTGTGTAAAGCATGCTTAATCGATACATATGCTAATGTTTACGTTCCTTTGCATGTCGTTTAACTACTAGTCGGTAGAAGGCTTTTGCTTTGTTGTATGCTATATCAGTGGCGAACCATAGACGTAAACGAGTTAAAGGAAGAAATGGGTTATAGTTAGTGGGGTTGTTGCACGAAGTCACGAACTTAACCTAGAAGCCCTTGTGGTAATCTCTCCCTCGGCGGCTTTCCAGTATTTTGCAGTTTTACGCATTCTTTTCCGCACTTCTTGTTTGTCTAGATGCGCAGTGGCACAGTAGAGAAGATGTGAGGAAAGCATTGGCAGTTGCAGAATACAAGAAGGCACAAAGAACGACCGCGACAAAAGTAGTTCAGATGTGCAAAGGAGTCGAGAAGGGACAGAGTTTGTCCGCGGATTTCAACGTCGAGAGCGGGGAGCTGGCTCCCATGTTCTTTCCCGGGCCATTTGCAATCGCGCATCACCTCATCTCCACCTGGGCCTATCAAGATGCACCAACTGATGGTGCCGAAGCCGACTCGAAACAGCTCAGCAGCTCCATTCCAAATCTATAGCCATTCTTATTCACCAAAAAACTAGAAACTCAGCATCTTTTGCTATAAATATATAAATAATCATTCAAGAATACAAACGAGAGCAATTCCCCCCTTTTACTTTTAGGGTATTGCTGTGTAAAGTTTGCCAACATTTGGATTCAATGCCCGACTAAAGATTCATTTATGTGCATTTTCTAGCCACCATCACTGCATAAAGATTGTTCAAAGCTCTACATTTTGAGTGATTTAGGGACAATGCAAAAGAAAGATACCAAAGTTAAATCTATCCATACGAGGGCTTAAAATGAGACGAGACGGATCATGTGTTACTTGAGATAACTCAGTCAAGCTCTATAGTAGAATTGCAAATGATACAAGAAAGATTGTGAGTAATTTGAGATCAATTTGGTCAAAGTTTGATAAATACTCCACTCAAATGGATTCGAGCTCGATCTCAACTTAAGTTTTTAATTAGTCGAAATGAGCTACTTGATACTCGGTTCGAAAAGTTCTCGAACAATTCGAAAATATAATATATTAAGATTTTGTTTTTTTAAAACATAAGTTATTAATAATATTAACATTGCAGTATAATGTTTTTTTATGTATTTAAGGTTTAGGTTCGAGTTTGAGATTTCAGTAATCTAAGATTTCTTTTTCATTATGAGTTTTTTCGAGTTTTTACGAGATTCAATTTATGGTTTTGAGTTTGAATCGAGTTTAAAAATTTTAAGCTCGTGAGTTTTTGAGTTGAGTTGAGTTTCATTATAGAGTTTTTCAGTCGAGTCGAACTCAAAAATACTCAAACTCGTGAGTGAGCTTAAATTTTTTATAAATATAATTATTTTGAATTAGATCATGTCCGATTTAAATTTTATCTAAAAAATTAAGTCGAAATCGAATCAAGTGAAGTCACCCATAAATCTAAGTCGGAATCAGATTGAATGAAATAATCACTAAACTTAAATTAAATCAAATTGGTTGAAAATTCGATCCATCCATCCATGATCATCAAAATCCCACGTATTCATCATCCCCATGTAGATTGAAGCACTGGAGTCAACGGCCCAGATGTTTTCCATACGCCCACTGATTCTCCCGATAAAAACCAGCACCGCCTCTTTTCTTCTTCCTCAATTTCTGCTTCAAACGCTGCAAACCGCAGCTGGGAAGTGTTAGATCTAAAGATCTTTGGCTTATTTATGAAATTCACCCTTTAATTTACTTTAACGTTTCAATTTAGTACAAAATGCTTCTAAGGAGCGCGTCCACGCCGTTAATTAATTCATGGATCCCACACTCGAAGGAGCCATCGCCGGAGCCCGAGTCGTCGCCCCTGATTTCCCGAACCCGATGCGTTTCTTTCAGGGTTCCGTGTTCGGTTTCTTTCGGGTCTTACGACGAATCGAGGCGGAGAATGACGAGGGCGGATTCGGAGACGGATCTGAGGATGACCGGCTCTGAGGCGGTCCCTAAGATGGGAAAAGTTAAGCAAAATAGCGGGGTATTTGTTGAGGAAGAAGAGGAGGTGGAGAGAGAAGAAGCTGGATTTCAGTGGCGGAGGACGGCGTCGCTCACGGTGGAGGAAGAGTGTGGATTAAGCGGCGGTGGCGATGGTGGTGGATCCAGTACCGATGATAACGAATGGAGCTCGTGGGATTCGAACAACGGAAATGATGGTACCGAGTTGTATTATCAGAAAATGATCGAGGCTAATCCTGGAAATTCACTTCTCCTCGACAATTACGCTAGATTCTTGAAAGAGGTAACTTTAGATAATCTTTTTTCATTCAGTTTCTTTTTGATAAACGAAAGGTAAACAGAGTTTTTGAGTTCAATCTAATGCCGGAAAACCGTACAGGTCCGCCGGGATTACGTGAAAGCGGAAGAATACTGCGGGAGGGCGATCTTAGCAAATCCAAATGACGGGAATGTTCTATCTATGTATGCTGATTTGATCTGGGAGACTCGCAAAGATAGTTCCAGAGCTGAAACTTACTTCGATCAAGCTGTTAAAGCTGCCCCTGATGACTGGTAAAACCCCAGGAAAAACTAAATTCTAAAAATTGGGTTTCATCGTTTGTGTTCAATTTCAAAGTGATTGATGAAAAAGGTTCATATTTTTTTAATGAAATTTGCAGTTATGTGTTAGCGTCATATGCACGGTTTCTTTGGGATGCTGAGGAAGAAGATGATGAAGAAGAATCAGAGCAAAGCTTTATCAATGGAGTTCCTTCAATGCCTCCTCCTTTGACTGCTGCTTCTTAAGGCTCTTCTGATATGTTTTTTTGCCTTTCTGACTATTGTTAATATTACCTCTGTGTTAAGCAGAAATGAAGTGAGTGAGCTTTGTAGTTATTGAGAACTCGGTTTTGATCTACTCGTTCTTGGAAGTACCCATCATGTAAAAGTAAAAAAAATAAGATGTGAAAATGAGTTTTCTATTGAAATGTTATTGTTTCTCTCTTACAATCCCTCTCTTTTGGTTTCTCTATGAAAATTCTCTTTTGATTTCTATTTGGAAACTGGCTATTGGGAGACAAGGGGAGCTGAGGAAGGGATCAGATTGAGATCAGCCAAAACCAACTTAGAACTGAACCGCCACTGACCAAACCGATTCCCACGAACACAACCAACACGACTGTGGATAATTCTGCTTCCGACACCAGTAAGGTCTTGTGGGCAGGTATCCATTAGTCAGTCCGAGCATATATTGCAGTAAGGTCTTGTAAGCACCGCTACCAGTATTTCACCCTTGAGTCACTTCGGTCCATGGAGGCTGGAGGTGAAAAGTGGATAGAAGAAAGGTCTGGCTATGCAACCCCGTGTAGCTTTCTTTATATTCTGCAGAGCATATATTGCAGTAATAGATATCCCCACGAAATCTGCCAAGTTATACACTGTGATCAACAAGACTGGATACCAGTCCTGAAGAAGCTTCGATTCTAGATCCTCGGCTATAAATCCGGGGAAAATAGACAGAGTCGTCACTACATATATGATGAGAATCCCGAGTGCCGGCTGCCAGATCTTCCTCGGTCCAAAAAACTGTGGTCTCCTATAATTCTGTAATGCTGTTGCATAACTGAAGAGGCAGTCCAGTAGAAATGGTCTGCATGGACTGTTTTGGAAGCTTTCCAGCAGATCCTATCAAGCTCTTACCTGCTATCAATCCATCTGCTAGACCACACATTACATCTTCTGTGACCGTCATCAAATAGGCTGCATTCCGTTCTCTTTGGACCGGCCGCCATGTGACACCCAGTCTATAGTCGGAGCCACCATCAGGGAGAGGAAGCATGGAAAACCCCATGTTATGTCTAAACCTACGAGTCGACTTCGTGCAGCAGTGACCCGAACTCATCATAGAGGAGCTCGTGTGACCTACAGATAAAACCTTTTTAACATGAGGGGTAGGCCGAACCAGCAATTCGGAATGGTAGTAACGTAAATAATGCGGTGGTCATGATGAAGCCTCGAGTTGCTTTTTCTTTTCAACTTTTCTCACTAAACAAACAGGGGAGAGGGATGGAAAATTTGATTGCTTTTTCCCCTTTTTTTCTCACCAAACATAGAAAGGAGAGGGATGGAAACAGCGGTTCCCTTACGTCGACCATTGCATTTTGTTCAACAAAATCAACCGATTACCCATCACCAAATCTTCTATTCACATGAAGAAAAATCTTAATTAAAATCAGGGCATTTTGAATAGTTCTAATTAATTGAAACTTAGAAGCAGAGATCATCCCCAAATGCTGACTATTTGGAGCCTTCTTTCTGAACTTTTGTCAATGGGGAAAAGGATAGACGGGGACGTCGGTGTAACACGCTAAAGTCAAAGCTTAAATTTATAAGATGTTCGAATTCAATTTAAAATTTAAGGATCAATGTTACTTCAACTTTAATGTAATCGACTATTAAAATTTACAAAATAATCATTCAATTACATAATATTATTTCGTTATATTCTTAAACTATTAAAAGTTATAAAATGATGATCCGACTATTTATTATTTTTTGAACTCATCCCTTTCTGTTAAAAGATTGGCGATTGACTAAGTTGGATGACCATATGATAGTCGTTTGAGATTCTAGTATCATATTTTATCATATCAAAGTCAGCATGTTAAAGTTCAGCTTAGAATACCGCTAATTTTTTAATAAAAAATGACGAATTTAAAACATAATGAATAATCAGATGATCATTTTATAACTTTTAATAGTCAATGAACTAAATAAAATAACACATTACAGTCGAATGATCATTTTATAATTTATAATAATTAAAAAAAATTAATAAAATAATATCTTATAATCGAGAAACTATTTATATTTTACTATAAATTAAAATATTATCACGGGTCTCAATGCCTTTAATTAGATTTTTATATGTAAATTCAAGTATGCGTGTTGTTATAGAAATAATTTATCTTGGACTGAAACTTAAATTATTAAATAAAGACAATTGAATATACTTGTTCAATTTTGCAACTGCTGTTGTCCACCATAACTTGTCAGAAAAATATTCACTTTATGTAATATTTTTCTAAATAGTAGATTTCTTTAATTTAGGTTGACTGATGTTACGTCTAGTGCTCTAAAAATAAATAAATTTATTTATACAAATAATAGAGTACGTTAATTTTATATCAAAATAAATAGATTCTTGGGTAAATTACGAGTTTAATATCTAAGCTATAAGTTTTAGTCAGTTTTAGTATCTAATTTTTATTCAAAACCATGTTTAATATTTAATTTTTGTTTTAGTTTAGTACACGTCGTTAAAAACTTGACGGATAGGCTGACGTTGCATAGCTAATGTGCACGGATGACTGTTCCGAATGGTATACCATGAGAGAATGAGGAGTCGACCAACATAGTATAGTTTCAGCCCCATCGAACAGTGGACTATGGAGATCGAAAGATGAAGAAATCGAAGAACATCGTATTATAATATATGACACAATGATCAGTTAATCTAAAAAAATGTTTAAATTTAAAGGTTAATTACATGATTAGTATCTTAATTATCACATTTATTCTGGTTTGATCACTTAATTATTTTTTTAAAAATTATATCTAATATTACGTTTTAGTTTCATTTCAAACATTTATCTTTTAAAAAGCAACATAACTACCGATGTGGCATTTAAAAAAATCAATGATAATGTGGTAATAACGCATGGTGACATATCAGCATCATTATTAAGTTTTTAACTAGGGGTGTTCATTTTTCGGTTTTATCCGAATTAACCAATCAAACTGAATTAGTTCAATTAATTCGATCGATCATCGAATTAGTTCGTTCGGAGAATGGTTAATGTTTTTTTCAATATTCAGTTAACAGTTAATTTGGTTCAAAATCAATTAATTAACCAAATTAACTAAAATTATTATATATTAAATATTATATATACATATATATATATATATATATATATATATATATATATATTAAATACATATTTTAAGCTCAAAATCATTAAGAATTAAGACCTAATTTTTTAACCACACAATACTCATTAAATTATTAATACCTAATTAAATTTTAATCTAAATTAAAAAAGTAATTCTATTATATTAAAATTAATTTAATTAAAAGAATTCAGTTAATTCAATTTGATTAATATTTTCAAAAAAAAGTTCGATTTGGTTAATGGTTAAAGAAAAAAAGTTCGGTTAATCGTAATTCAGTTCAATTGGTCACCTTTTTAATCGATTGAACACCTCTATTTTTAACCGTAGACAACAAAATGAAACCAAAACTAAATATTAAGTATGATTTTTGGAAAACTATAATTGGGTAATTAAAACAAATAATTAAAGTGTTAAATGTGTAGTTTACCCTAAATTAAATGATTATTGTATATTAAGGGGGGTGGGGCGAAAAAGGCTATACCTTTATGGTCCGTTTGGTTCACTGAATGTAAGATTATCAGTGGGAATAAATGATTACCAGAGAATAGGATTACTGAGAATGTTGTATTTTTTGTTTGGTTGGTTTAGCAGAAATGTAAGATTACCGTGTTTGGTTAAAGGAATAAAAGATTATTGGAATATATATTTGACCAAATTGTCCTTATTATATATTTGTATAATATTACAAATTGTAAAATATTTATATTTTTTTAAAAAATTTAAATTCATAATTTTTATATAATTTTTTTACAAAATTAAAAATATAAAAAATGTTTAATGAAAGGATAAAAAAAAATTTAACCCCTGAACTTCATATAAAATTTTAATTATAGATTTTTTTTGTAAATCTAAAATAATTTAAGGATAAATTTGTAATTTAACCTTCGTAGAATTTTTATTATTCAATGACATAAGAAGAATATTTTTGAAAAAAATAAAAATTTAAGGTTATTTTAGTCCAAAACGCCGGTAATGTTACAATACCTAAGGGAAGAGAGATAATGACATTCCCGGTAATATATCCCAAAAAATCTACTATTGGTAATAAAACATTACCGGGAATGAGATTCTCAGCCAACCAAACATAAAAATATAAAATTTATATCCCACAATCTTTGAACCAAACAACTTCTTAAACCTTTGAAAAAAAAACGAGGTTGAGCAATTTAACATATTTGGCGTGTGTTGAAAGTTCAAAACTTTAAAGGAAGGTGTGCTATTTTCGCAGATCGGAGCAAATTTCTTTGTGTTATTAATTTTAAACGCGATGGCTATTAGCCAGTGGGTCAACAACGGCCCCGACCCACATGGTTTGATTTATTTGACCGCCATGTAATTGCTTCTTCATCATCTTCCCAGAAGCTTCTTTTCTCCGTCCTATATATATAGGAGAAGATAAGGATAAACGAACATATCATCTGCTCACAGCTGAAAATCCCAGATCTTTTGTGGGGCGACTGCAAGAAAGAGAACACAGCAAGTAGAAATGGGTGGGAAAATAGGCACGGCGACGCTTTTTGTGTTTTTGGTTGCGAATCTGTTGCAGGGTGCGTTTGGTGTAACTTATACGGTGGGGGATTCTACGGGTTGGGTTGTTCCGACCGGTAACGATGATTTCTATGACGATTGGGCCGATAATAAGATCTTTGCTGTTGGGGATGTTTTGGGTGAGTGGAAGTTTTTATCGTTTTATTATTGAGTACATGTTTAGCTGGTGTTTTGGTGTTTTTTAACCGGCGATTTTGTGTTTTTTGTTGCAGTGTTCAATTTTACTACGGGACAGCATAATGTCGCGGAGGTGACCGAGGTTGATTACGACTCCTGCAACGGTGCTAATGCGTTGTTGATGGTGAGGGATGGACCGGCGATGATTACCCTTAACAGGACCGGTGAGTATCACTTCATTTGCGCTTTTACTGGTCATTGTGCCGCCGGTCAGAAGCTCAGCATCGACGTCGGAAGTGGTACACCGTCACCTAGACCGAGCCCCACCACGCCTGGTGCTCCGATCCCCAGTGGTAGAACTTATACGGTGGGAGACGCCAGCGG